TTTTTATATAACTTTTAATTCATATATATATATATATATATATATATACTGTATATATATATATATATATATATATTTAAATTTATTTTAATTATTAATAAAACATTTGTATGAATAAATAAGTTTTTAGACAGCATTTAAAACATTTCACTGTGATATGGAAATTGTTAATTTACTACTGATTTCTGAAGATATAAAAAGTTACAGAAATGCATTTTACGAACTTGAGAAGTCTGGTCTAGGCTGCTACAAATAACAGATGCTTTGAAATCTAAATCTGTATCCAATTTACGTAGAAATCGAGATTGTATGACCTTCTGTAATACTGGATAATAATGTTGGATGCAGAGACCACTGATATTGCATGGTGATCAGAAGACTTATCTGTGGCAATGGTGACAAATCTTACTAAATCATCTGCACTACATATGATAATGAGGTTAAGGGCGTGGCCTCGCTCGTGGGTCTGTGTGTTGATTTACTGGTGCGGATTTTCCAACTCCAGAAACTTCAGCAAATTCATGGCTTTGGTAGACTTTGTATTGTCAATGTGAAAGTTGAAGTCTCTGGTAATCAGAAGGTGTCCTGAGGCAAATGTTAGTTTTTCAAGTAAGGACAAGAATTCCTCCATCAATGGCCTGCTGTAGAATGGTTGGCTTTAGACGGTGGTGGTCTATAGGTGATCAACAGTCGTACTAGGTCACAACCACATGTATCTTGTTTGACATTGTCTCTTATTAGCCAGGAAATTTGAGAAAAGGTTAGAGCATCGATGCACATGCAGCCTCAGTATATTAAAAATTTTAATGTTATAATTATGTTTGTGTGTTTTAAAGCCAGTAGACAAATATTGTACATTTATAATCACAATGCGGATGAATTTAATGCTTGACCCTGGTATCACTACACCTGATGAAGCATGAAGCATTAATTGGGGCAAAAATTTGTAAATAAAAATTTATTGTTTATAATAGTGCATTATTATGTTTCTAGGTAGAATTTGGTGAATGTATAATGTATGTATAAGTTTAATCTTTGTTGTTAATAGTATTTTGTAATTGTTTCTTATTTTTGTAAACCTATTGTTAATATAGATTTCATATCTTTTTATGGCTTTGGTTATATTTTACACATTTTTGATTTCTCCATTTTCATAAGTTTTCTTTTTAAAAATTAATAATTAGATTTATGGATAAAGAATATACAAATACTAAACATTGGTGTATTTTAGTGTAGGAACTTGGTTTTTGTTTAATAATTCTTGTTTTGAATCTGTACTTTAAGCTGATAGAAAATATTTTTTTTTTTTTTTTTAGCCAACAAACCAATTAATCAATCAAATAATAAACAAATCATTAAATCAATAAACAGCAGAAATTTGTGAATAAATATTTATTGTTTAAGGCCACGATTTCTGTTTGACAGTGACGTACACAATACACAAATTTCACCCAAATATGTGGAATAAAAAGTGCATCTTTTGTCTCGAGTTTAAGGTAGATTCACACCGAATACGAATTCACTATAAAATATCACAAAGCATTTTCACACAATGATACAAAAAATTCTATGAACCATACAGCTGAACTGCCAAATATCGGACAATAACCTTCATGCCGATATTTATTGTAGTGCAGTGTACCATAGCATAAAGCAGTTTCAGTAAATACCAGACCAAAGATACTTATTTCATGAATACAAAGGAGCTGCTTACATAACTAGTTTTTTTAGGTATAAATACTTTCTACTGCCTTTATAACAGCCACCCTAGTCTAGGTACCTGAAATCAGTGGAACA